TGCTGCTGCTGCTGCTCAAGAACCAGCAGCAGGCGCACCTGGTGGGGGCACGCGGCAGCAGCTAGGGGCCCTCTCTTTGGGTCAGGACCATACGGGGGGCCCCCTTACGACTCTTTCTGGGGGCCCCCCTGCTGCTGCTGCTGCTGCTCCTCTGTACCCTGAAGGGTCTGCTCGAGCTGAGGAGATAAAGCAGCTGATACGGCAGACGCAGCGGGAGGTGCGGCAGCAGCAGCAGCAGCAGCAGCAAAGCCTGGACGTGCTGAAGGGTCTCCTTGCGGAGTCACACACGCTGCTGCAGCGGCTCGAAGCAGCGCAGCAGCAGCTGCAGCAGCGAGCTTGGCTTACTGGGGTTCAGCTGCGTGGCCTGCCTGCAGGGGGGGGAGGGCCTGTTGCTGCTGCTGCTGCTGGTCGTGTGGAGTGTGTAGGGTCTGTTGCAGGAGCAGGAGCAGCAGAAGATGCAACAGCAACAGCAACAGCAACAGCAGCAGCAGCAGCAGCAGCAGGAGCAGCAGCGCAGCAGTCTAGAGAGGTGCTGCGGCTACGCGTGCAGCAAGAAGATGAAGTCGCAGCTATCAACATGGGCTACAGAGAGCTGGAGGAGCAGCTGGGGGCGATGCGGGAGAGTTTGTTGGCGATAGCGAGAGCAAAGGAGGAGACAGAAGCAGCAGCAGCAGCAGCAGCAGCAGCAGCAGGAGGAGCAGCAGCAGAGGGAGCAGCAGCAGCAGCAGAAGAAGATGAAGAGGGATTGCTGGAGCAGCCCCCTTCTCTCGGGTGCTCTCCTCGGGCTCTGCTGCAGCCAGTCTATGAAGGGACAGCACAAGCAACAGCAGCAGCAGAGCAGCAGCCCGTGCTGCTGCTGCTGCCCAGCAGCAGCCCGCGTATTGAGATATTCCAGGGCCCTTTCTTTCAGCCGTATGTAAACTGCAGACGCGGAGACACCGCAGCAGTTCAGATATTTACAACGCGAAATCTTATTATAGACGAGCAGTTCAGGCCTGAGTCCCCAGCAGCAACG